GGGGGGGGGTCAATTAGTTCTGGGGAAAAGGGAGATTGACAGACAGAACAATAGGGTGAAAGTAAAGAAGTTAGGACCTACTAGTGGCGACCCCCAACCTCCCGCGGGGGGCGGGGGACTCTTTTGCTGCTTATGTAGAGCCCTGCCCCTCCATCACCCAGAAGGAGCCACGGTCTGGTTTAGTTTAGTTTTAGTAAGAGTTGTACGGCACTTGCAACACTATAAGGTCATATAAGTGCCGAAGAATAGAGTTAGTCTTAGTACAGGTTTTACGGCGCTCGCAACTGCATAATAAGGTCATATGAGCGCCAGAAGAATAGAGGTGTTACAAGAGAGTAACAAACATAAAAAAGAAGAATGGGAGATACGGACAATTATGTTTCACAGTAAAAAAAAAGAAGCAAACCACACCAGAGCACCCGCCAACCACTCACAAAGAATAGAGGTGTTGCAAGAGAGTGACAAACACAAAACAGAAAGAGGAGAGATAGGGACGACATGTGTTTGATAGGAAAGAAGGAGAAAACAACACCAGAGCACTCGCAAACCAACCACCGAGCCTGGGTCTGGTATGACAGACTATGGTATAGATTTAACGCTCCCACCAACACTGTAACGCCTGGTCCGTGTGCAAAGGGAACATTTCCATCCGTCCACGATTGCTAATAGTATGCGAGTGACGCAACTTTCACCTGTTTCTCTTTAGTTTTAGTAGATTTTCACGGCACTCGAAACACAATAAGGTCATATAAGTGCCCAAGATTAGGGAGGGGGGGGGTGACACAAGAAAGTAACATTAACATTAACTTTTTTTCCCTTTTTTTAAGTTTTAGTTTTAGTAAGAGTGTTACGGCACTTGCAACACAACAAGGTCATACAAGTGCCGAAGATTAGAGGTGTTAAAAGAGAGTAACAAACACAAAATAGAAGGAGGGGAGAAAAGGACGACAGATGTTTGATGGGAAAGAAGGAGCAAACCACACCAGAGCACCTGCCAACAACCAGCGTCAACATAAACAAAGAAGGAGTAGAGATCACAAGGATAGATGTTTGAGAGGGAAGGAGAAGCAAATACACCAAAGCACCCATCAAACAACTGCTCCCATCAAGTCGCTACCCTAGAATTAAAAAGTTCTATCTTCTCAGTACCAAGTTTTGAGAAATTTGACGTTAAGAATGTTGAGTCTCAAAACAAATAACGTTCGTTAGAATGCAGTTCTTTGAATATCTTGATAACGACTCCGAATAATCTTGCGATTTTGGTTGAGTAGAACATACGCCATGGTCTAAGTAGCTCAGAACGGCCAAAATATCAGATAGAACTTTGCAATATGAAACAAAAATGAACTTCTTGACCTAAAAAACCCTATAAGTGATGTATCACACTTCATAGGTATTGGAAGAAGACAAGGAGTAATCTCGAT